AGAAAGAGAAAAGTCTGATACTATCTTTTCTCATGAAATATTACAGCAAAACTACGTTTTACTCAGGGTGTCCAGTACCTATCATTTCTAACAGCAAAAGGGATCATCAAAATTTTCTATCTCTGTATTTATAAAATTATTATAACGTACTGGATCCATATAATACTTTATATAATATAACAAATAAAGATGTACAAAAAAACAAATTAACCTTATTTCCTCCAACGTTTTTTCCGCCCCTTTAATCCTCCAACCATGCACTTTCGAGTCTCACGTGTTTTTCAAAATGTTAATAGCTTTGAAAAATTCTCCAAAAATTATTATAATATCTTTGTAACTTCCACTAAAATTCAATGTAAATAACATTTGGAAATCATTTATTTAAATATTTTTTTACAACAATTATATGTTGACAAACACACGTTACGACTCGTTTTACTTAAAAAATCATAACTTACGAACAAATTGACGAAGCTTAATGATCCAAAACGCAAATTAAAGCTAAAAGTAGTGCGAATGAGAAAAAAAATATGAGATAATTATTAATTAAATAAGAATACTTAATTTCGTCGCCGCAAATTTGGTAATTTTTAAATGGTACAGAAGGACTTTAAGGACTTAAAAAATGTTAGAAAAAGAATCTCTAAATAAGAAAAGACGAATTTGAAGTGTAACCGAGAGTGTGACAGACATTTTTTATGTAAAAAAATTAAATTTTTTTTATAATCGTAGCTCTTCCCCACCTCTTCCACCTGCCTCTGAGCCATAATAGTCCTCTGTGAAATGTCAAATTTTTTTTAACGACGAAAATATTTTAAATACGCTTAAATTATACACAAAAATACATTTTTATCGAAAAAAATTCTCACTTATCTTTCACACAACACTGACATAATCCTCCAACCATGCACTTTCGTATCCCACCGAGATTTTGATTGTTCGCCGTTTCGAGAGTAAATGAGCTAGGACTTTGAAATTTCTACCTGATGTTCCCTACTATAACAACTTTTTTTAGGGGTGGGGGGATTATCTGACGATCATTTATTTTCCGGAACAAACGACTGCATGTTAGAAACTCGTGGGACACGAAAGGGCTGTTGGAGGAAATAGGGTTAGATTCTATAATACTCAAAGATAGTAAAGATTTTATTTAGCAAATCTGCATTCTCACATTAAATTCGTTAGGTGCAATACTTTATTTGCTAAGATAATCGAGTTTACTAATAACCTAAATCCATTTGCAAGAACTTTGTATAATAAGCGTATGTAACAGAGCACATCTCAGATATAACACGTAGCTAGTTCCCACGATGCGAGTTTATACTTAAGTAAACCCGAAGAACGCTTGAATATCTTATAAAGTATCAAAGTCAGTAACTCTGAAAAAAAATCTAAAATCGTGTTTTACATACGGATCGAGAAAGCGTTCGCAGTGAAGGCGAAGTAGAAAGTTAGAAAAGATAGAAAAGATTAGAAAAGATAGAAAAAAGTTACATTATTTATGCTACTTAAAAAACAGAAGTTCCAGAAAATATGCAAAATCTTAAAAATATTTTTAATTTTTTTAAATAAAATAAAATGTTTAATATTTTATTTTATTTTAAATATTTAAATTTATTAAAAAACTAAAACTTTTTAAATATAAAATGACTTTTACTCTTTTAAACTTTTTAATTATCAAGTAATATATAAGTGTTCCAAACTGTTTCTTATAGACGGATACCAGCGTATAATTTGATTAGATACGCATTGTGACTAATGTAACAGTTATAATCTTCTTACCGCGTCTGTATGTGTGTGCGTGTATGATTGAATTAGATCATGATTATTAGTTTATTTTCGTCTGAATACTTCCGCGTAATCGATGAATCGCGAAATGAGCGCGTCTGGTTTTTTCCGATTTGACGAGCTCGTCTAATTTTGGAGCACATCTGCGGTGGTTTAGATTCGAAAGGGGGCCCCTGGTTTCTTTCTATGGATAATGAAAGAGAAGAGACCGGGGGTCTTTCGAGGAGGGTCACGCGCTTCCTCACGCGTGCACGGAATAATCTCCCTGGCCGAACAGAGTAAAAAATGCTCGAGAGAGATTTACGTTGAGCGTACAACTGTCACGAGAGACTCTCGAGTGCGCTCGCGGCTCGTCGAGAGAGAGTCTCTCTTTGCGGCATAACGATCTGACTCGAGCGCGTAACAACAATGATATAGTCGGCTATATATACGCTGGATATCGACACCTCGACAAGCCCACTGGCTTTTCCAGGAGGCAAACAATCTTTGTATATCCAACCTGTCCGTGACCATTATCGATTCTCTTTCGAGAGCCATGGGGAGCTCTCGAAGGTGAATGGACGATGGAAGACAGCGAAGAAAAGAAGAGCGCGAGAAACGAATAAAACGCCGCATGCTCATTTCATAACGTTTAACAAATATCAAGGTGATACCGCGAGGGCGAGAGACTGTTTACGGATGCTAATTCGCTGCCGGTGGGTGAATGATTTAATGGGGTTGTCAAGGCGGATATTCTGACGCGCCGCCACGTCGCGTCGTGTCCGCGTCGCCATGAGCATCGACCCTTATATCTTATATACATCGCCTCCGATATTAAGCTCTAAGTTGTACGTTTTGTCACTGTGTACACTGGGATTTGGCCCGACTTCCCGAGCAAACACAGTTGCACCCCGACCCCACGACGCGCCACATAGGGAGCCGCGCGTTTCTCACGCGACGCAATAACACGGCTCGGAGTAGAAATACGCGATGGATCATTCTTCTACCCTGCAATCTCGAAACGGAAAAACTACTGTCGGAATTACCTACGGCGATTTATAGGCGCGTATACGAACGTGTCAATGTCTAAATCGTACGCGATGAAGATATGGAACGTCGTTTGAGAGAACGCGTCGGTTCTAATTTCTGATGAAATTCGATCCGAACACGTGATCCCGCGAGCTTCTCTCCCAGGATAAATACGTTCGTTTCATTGAGTGGCGCGTATATGTATATGCATAGACGCCAGGTAAATTTCGTGGCGCCAAACGCGCGACACGAACAGAAGACACACCACACACAACCCCCTTTTGGATTCATCTATACGCAGAGACTGCGAAGTCACCAATGTCATGCCCACGTATACATCCGCGGTGTGCGGCAACTTACGGTCGCGGTTACGCACGCAAAGCGTTACTCATGCACGCATGTGCGCTCGCCCGCACGTATCGTACGTATGTACGCTATACACGCCGTACCTACTACGCGGTGTGTATTACAGCCAGGTGTAGAGCGGGAACACAGTGCTCGTGTTCCTGACGGGCGCGCGGTTCCCCCCCGTGACGCGTGTTCCGCCGGATAGGTGGAGTAGGTAGAAACTGCTGCACCCGAGAGTCTGGTTTACATCTGAACGTGACAAGGCCGCCCCGCGCGCGCGCACGCACCGGTTTGTCTTTATGTCATGGGAAAGTCTATACCGGCAAACGCACGAGCGAACGTCTAGATCCGACCGGGCGTTATCGACTATCGCGTGATATAGCCCGTGATATGAATGTCGAACTAATTGCGAGCCGCGCCTCTCCGGCGCCGGCATCAGCACCGGTACGTCGCCGATCCCTTTGAAGCGGAAAACCGGCGGGATTTTGCGCTGACGAAAAACTCGTATAACGAGCGCGCGCGCGACGTCCTGTTTATAACGACCTGCGTGCCATGTTTAATCAAAGGGATCGGTAAAAAGTTTCAATTGATTTTCTGCCAATATCTACACTTGTTCGGAAAGTGCATCGCTGTCGCTCTTCATTAATTAAGTGAAAGCGAGTGGATGTAGGTAATCGTCTTTTTTAATGGTACTTCAATGTCATTATCACTTCTTACTACGTAACACAGATGAAACTCATACGATCATGCATTTACTCGCAATAAATCATGAAAAATAACCATCAAATGTTTAAGATCCAAACATTAATCTCTTCTGGTTTGGATTAGAAACGCAAATAATTTTCATGGGTATCGACGCTCGTTACCTTCGACAAACATCGAGACTTTCATCAGCGAATGAACTACGCATCTCCCTCTATCCCTCTTTCGCAACCCTATTTGAAGTTTCCCCAGTCATCCTATGAGAGAGAGAGAGAGAGAGAGAGAGAGAGAGAGAGAAAATTTGCGCTTCTCACATCCTGATATTCATTACAAATTCACACGAGCCACCAGTTAACGTTTGAAGCGTCGGAAAGTCGTGCTGTCTTTGTCCCCGTCTACGAATCGACAATTGCGTCGGTAGCGACGCAAACACGGACGAGCGCGGTAGACAATCGAATTTCAATTTAGATCCGTCGAAGCGCTACTTCCCGTTACACGGTTGAACAAGCAATCCTTTCCATTAATACGACAATGCTGCCGCGCGCTCTCTGACGTATTTACCCCGCGTCGGGCTCGCGCGCGCGGAATAGCGACGCCACACCATTGGCGCGGGGACGCTTGCACCCCACAACTGGAATCTATTTTTCTCAATACTAGGCCGAAAGTACGTCGTTCCGGCTTCCAAATTACGGCAGAAAGCCTAAAGCCCCTTGCACAATGCCAGGCAACAGGCAATAGGAACAGGGAATAGGAACAGACAATAAGAATAAGGAATACCAACATACCAGAAACCTTGTATCAATGCAGAATGGACCGTGACATAGGCAATAGACACAGGATTTCCGTCACGTTGGAAATTCTATGCTTATTGCCTGTTGCCAACCAATCACAGTGTTCAGATTTTTAGGTTATATTTACGAACTTTTAGCGCGCGTATACATACGTCGTATAGGTACACGTTTTGCAACTAGCTTTATTTATAGCAAATATATTTATAGCAAAATGTATGATCATCATAATTATTCGAGTCGTTTCGAAAAAGAAGAAGAGTGTGTAAACGATGGACTGGATGCATTTGACCAAAACTGTTTTAATAAACATGTAAAATATGGTGACGAGTTATTAATTGATATGATTCGTTCTCGTTCATATCTTTATGATAAAAGTGTAAAAAGCTATAAGGATGCAACAATGAAAGAGAATGCGTGGACAGAAATTGCTAATGTTCTAGATACTACAGGTAAGTAAATTTTTATTTAACTCTTAACTGATTTACGGTGGTCTCAGAGACAGTCCTGTATTTCATTCCGTCTTATTATGAATGGCGTATGACTGGGTTCTACTATCGTTTTATATGTATTATATGATTATAGTTGTTTATATTTGATTATATGATACAGTTACAGAGTGCCAGAATCGATGGACACGTCTCCGTCAACGCTTCAGCAAGGAGAGGCAGCTGCAGGAGCAAGAGACGAGGAGTGGAGCTGGAAAGCCCATGAGACAAAAATGGATATTATTTGAGAGCCTCGCCTTCTTGGGAAGACATATAACCCACAGAAGGTTTGTTTCATTTATTTCTTTAAATGATTATAGACTTGTCGATGAATTTCGAACAATTTATCGTATTCAACAACGATTTATCATTTCAGAAGCTTCTCCAATGTCAATTGCGCAAAGCCATCCGGGCCAAGCGGTATCAGTGAGGTGGCGTTGAAAACCCAACATTCGAGAGTCCTTCAGGACAAGCATGAAATGACCGCTAATAACAACCTCAATGTACGACAACTTTTCTTTTTTTTACCAATGTGTTATCTTACTTG